ATCATCACCCATTTTTACTTTTAAGTTTTTACATTAAGATATCTATAGTTGAAATCGTGAGTTAGTTGAAGCTAGATCACCATGGAAAACCTGGAAGCACTAGACGGCTGTTTCATCCTAGTATGGAACTCCTGAGTAGCAGTGCGCATCCACTATCCTCCTACTATTCCAGGTTTCTCTTGGTGGTCTAGCTTTAATTGACTCATGATTTAAACTATTAAAATTACTAAAATCTCCACTAAACCCCTTCTGATATTAATATATATTTACTGTCTAGTTAGACACTTTTATTTATCATTTATTTTGTTTACCTAATGATTAGTTTTTGTCTAGTCAGTAAATTGCTTATCATCAAATCGTGCTAAATCATGGGATGATTAAATTTGTTTTGTTGTTAGTTTTTCATTCTGTTAAACAACACAATTTAATTTGTTTTCTTTTCCCGTTTTTTGTTTTGTATTCGAAGTCGGCACTTTATTTCTATTTATTTCTAAGATTGTTTATTTGTTGCATTTTAACAAAATCTATGGCCAAGGAATGAAAAAGTAATGAAAACAGTAGAAATTATTGAGGACTCTTCAGTGGTCTCACAATAGGACGAAACAGCTGTCCAGTGTTTCTATGGGTTTTTTTGTGTGATAATCTTGCTTCAATTGACTTATGATCTCAATTATTAAAAATTACTATAGAAACATCCGCAAATAACCCATTCTGATAATAATTTCAATTATTTTTAATGATTTAATGCAAGGCTATAAACGTTGTTTCAAGAAGCAAAGAAATTATAAAGAAAGAAAAAAAACTATATTTTCTTCAATTTACTACTGTTTTCTATTGTTTCTTTAAAAGTAACTCATTTACTGAATGGAGAAATTTGTATAATTGATTGCTTAAGGTTTACTCTACCGAACTTGAACCCAACTCATGAGCAGTGACTTATCGATCGGATCAATGACACGTAAAACACGTACGAGCAGTCTGGAATCCTTATCGGTCCTGCTTCCTGCCTAGCCCTGTCTCTTAAGTCCAAAATACAAGTCTCGGCCTATGCGATATGAATCATAATATTTCAAACATACTGGGGTTTATATACCAATCAAACAGACCACAACATACCAATAAAATGTGAAACAACATTTGTACAAGAATTAGTCAAATGTGGTTGTGAATGAGGGAGGTAGTAATTAATATACTGCGTATAACTCAAGAATGGTAAAACGTATAATAACAGTTCACAGGTCAAAATAAAGTTTATAATAAGAGGAACATGAATATGAATAGTTTACTCATTTAACAATTATACGATAAAAGTATACTTTTAGTATCGGTCCGTAAATGGATCCCTAAAGTTACCATTCATTATGTTTCTTGGGTCCTAACACCTACAACCTACGAATTAATAGTAGAATGTCTAAATCTCACTAAACATTATCTATATGATAGAAAACTAAATATCTGCTATCATTTCAATAATTATAATATACTTTTATTGGTACAATCAACGTTCAATATTGTTTTATTAATGTTGACATTGAAATGAGCAGAGCAACATGATCACATTGTTTTTACTTGTATATTTATTAAAGATACAAATAAATGAATGAATTGATTGGTTATTATCACAGGATTATTGTATTACCCTTGGTTTTCTTTTGTGCTTTTTCTAAACTCAATGTTTCTATTGAACCTAGAAAAATGTTATTATCATTATATTAGATTGAATGAATGTGGTTTCGTGATTTCTTATTGTTGATATTCACCACTTTAACTTTCCATTGTTGTATGTTTACATTGAGCCCGGATTACTTTTATCTAGCTTATAGTCAGAATTTTTGATATATTTGAACTGTAGATAATAGTTGAATCTAGGATGTAATTTTTTGTCCTATTCAGGACTTCAGCTAAACATTACTTACATTGCAATGTTGTTGTTCATGCAGAGATTCGAATCGGTTTTACTTAAATGTCCTATTTGTCACCCATTGACTTACTAAGTTCAATGAACCACTAAAATTTTCAACTTATGTGAACATCAACATACATTCGGCTAACTAGTACAAAATCAACTTGAACTTGTCACATACCAAATACACTAGTTTAAACTCAATTAATCTTAATTTATGGATCTACTGTTACTATCGATGAATTCCATTGTCAAATGTTCATTGTTCTGAATTGACCCATCACATTGAGCACAGGTGAATATCAAATTAGTAATATCACTGACAATGAAAAATCACGAATACAAAGGATAAAAGATACGAAATAAGTACGAGACTGATGATCAAGCGGTAAGTGAGTAGTGAACTCATATCTATTGAAGTGCAACCTATTCTGAATCATGTCAGCGAACGTCTTCAACCATTTGGCTACGATAATCGTACATTCCTCATCCGATTAGTCTCCATCTATCAACATGGATTAGATTTTGGAAGAAGACCTACTATCAAATTTTTTTATCAAGTAACCTCTTCTATAATTTTCAATCCTCTCTTTTCTCATCTTTTTATACTTACTTCTTACATAATCTTATTCATCTCCATTTATTTTCTTTGTTTTTATTCTTATCCTATTGAGTGGTTATACAATAGATCATTAATTTCAATAGTTGAGATCGTGAGTCATTTGAAGTTAAACCACCATGGAAAACCTTGAATCACTGGACGACCCTATTGTGGGACTCCTTAGCAGTGCCCATCCACCGTTGTATGCCGGCTTAGTGGTCTAATGGTTAAGTGCTCGCACGTGAGACCCTAAGGTTCTGGACTCGAATCTCCCGGGGAGCGGGATCATGGATGCGCACTGCTGAGGAGTGCCATGCTAGGACGAAACGGCCTTCCAGTGTTTTCAGGTTTTCCATGGTGGTCTAACTTCAATTGACTCATGATTTCAACTAATGAAATTTCTATACTTGATTATCACGTATTCATATGCATGGGTGAGACTATAATTTATGGTTGAGCTTTGTACGATGCTAAAGTGACCTTGAGAGTGTCCACATACTTACTAGGGCTAAATAAGGATTATAAAACAGTTTGAAGAATAAGGATTATGATTTACAATTGATAGTTAAAGAGTTAGATTTAAAGTTCTCATCACGAACTGATATCAGCTAAAATACCAAGGCGCTATTTGGTCAAATGAATTGAGTGAATTTCGCGGCGTAAATCAAAGACTTATTGTTGTAAATCTGTTTGATTCATTTATAAATTATAGTCTTGCTTCATCGTGTTTTCAATTCATCTATAAACTAATTAAGCACTTAAGTTTACTTGTTCTTTTACATTCATGATGTGAAGAATAAAGATTATTTGGTTTTTTTTCGATTCAATGTCAAGTACTACTATTTATTTAAAGTAGTTTGAAATCTATTTATGTATTCAAGTTTCAATGGGTTTTTTTTCATTCTAATTTGATATTGCTTTAAAATTGTTTATACTTTTTTCGACTAGTTCAAATGTTGGTTTATTAACTGCTTGTATATATTAGTATAATTCTGATGTTCACATCTAAAATGTTTAGGATACTGTTATCATTCTTATTAATTCATCTCCTATGGATGACTAGCGTTAGTTTTTATGTTTTTTTTTTTAACACATAAATACTGGTAAAATGGGGCACCGAATATATATATGCCACACAAGTCACTTGGATTGTCTGAGGATTTTTGTACTGCCTGAGTGCCCAAAACGAAGCAGGTGGTTTACTTAAAGGGTCACACCTTAAGCCTTCAACCTAAAGGTCTAATCCATGAGACAGTGGAGTAACTTTAGGAGATGCACTCCCATGGCAGCCAGTGATCAACAATGGGTTTATACGCCACTTGTTCCGTCAGGATACTGGAGCTCATGTAGACCTTTAGTTTGGAATCAAGGTTTTCCAACTTCAATTGGATGAACTCCCTGTGTTCATCAACCCGGTTAAATCGTCTGACATTCACTTTTCGTGTTGTCAATTTCGTAAACATCAGTAATGCTGCGAGAAGACAATGATTGGGACTTCTTTGATAGTGGTTGGATACACGTGGCCATGTGAGAGCATTTGTAGAGGAAGAACTGACTCCCCACCCTCGGTCGTACAAGGACATTTGGGGTCTATCTGTTGCATAAATATGTTGTTTAGTTAACTTTTTTTGGATATATTAGGAAGTTACTTATACATCGAATTGGTTGGTATATTTGAGAGAATAAACATAATCTCAATCTGATTAATTGATATTTTGCTGAGTGAAAATATTAGCCAAATGTATTCGATCTATGCTTAACTATTAGGATTGATTAAGTTTATTTGTATTGAACTGATGCATACTTCTCAAATTTAGTTGTCTATTAATGTGAATAAATACTTTCACTTTACTCATTTTATACCTTGAAGGATATGAATTTAATTTTAATATATCCTTGCTACACTTTAAAATGTCACATTCGTACCCCTGTCATCTCATTGTAAAGCGATTAACTTATGTAGCCAAAATAGGGTATTATCTTCGTTGGCTTGCAATAACACAATGATGAGTATTTTTGATATTGAAACATCTAGTCAACTTCATAAGCGTATATAAACTTTGTCGAATGATCTTATTATTAATTGTTTATGATATCCGTTGAGAGATCACCAGTTTATTATGAAACTGAATAGTAATAGACTATCACTTCATCCTAGTTCGTTGCTCTTCATTCACTAGTGTACATTTACGATTTCATTTTGTGATCGAACTTAGTATGATCAGGTTTTAAAGCGTGCACGATACTTCTAATTTTTACTAACATGAAACGGTTGTTTTGTTTAGTTCTCAGTTCCTAACTACTTTTTCTATTCACATAAGTTGACTTTTGTAATATGTATCCCTAGAAATAGAAACATTTCCATCAAAGTACTTCATTTACTAAAGTTTGTTAAGGGGGGTGGCTGTTGTTTGTTTTTTCCACTGACTCCCATAATATTCAATACTTTATTTGTTTTATTCATGTATCCTCTTTTTCACCTTTTTGTAACCATAGTCATACAAATCATCATAATAATCGAATTATTTCTAGTATACAAAAATCCAATCATAAATATACTAATAACACTAACTTTAAACCACATAGAATGAGTTTATTGAAACCAAATAATAATGAAGCTGAATTAACTGAAGAATTTAATTCATCTAATCGATTACATACTTCTTCATTAACCCATTCTACATCATCATCACCAACAACAAAACCTAGTCATCCATCTACAACACAACAACAACATCATCATGATAATGATGAAGTGAATTGTGATGATGATGACACGATGAAATGTCTTGTGTCAATTAATCCAGATCCATGGATAACTATGGAACCTGGAAAACAACAACAACGTAAGGATTTGATATCAAAATGCAAACGATCATTATCCAGTGAATTAGATACTAATAAATTAAAACAACACCCTAATCCTCTTCATCATTATCCGTATCATCATGGATTTGAGTTTCCTACCAATAATAACACATCGGCTAATAATCAGTCTATCCCCGCTGGTTGTGGCGGTGGTGATGGTTATCAAAGTAAGTTTTACTTTACTTCTTTTCTCTATTCCTTTTTTAATTTTTACATACTAAGTGTTCTTATTTTGACTGGTCAGTCTTCTATTTTGTTATACTGGTCTACTATCAAACAAATAGTTTCATTGTTAGATAGATGAAAGCAATCGGCAGTAAAATTCGTAAACTCATTTTTCTTGGTCGTTGCGAATGTTCAGCAGGGTTTATGTACAATATTAAAGGAACTGAAGCTTGGCAATGAGAGTTGAAATTCTGTGAGAAGTACCAGTTCTCTCAAGATTTCAGATATGACTTACGACTACCATCTACCACGGAACTACTAGGATTCCCTTCTGACTATTGCATTGTAGCATCACACTGTGTGTGAAAAAGATGCGTTATATACGATTCTGCGATGTTAGCATTACTTCTATGTAATTAGAAAACCAGGTCTTTAAACTCACAGAACGTTCAATAGTGTTCTCGGTTCGATCATCTTTTTCATTATGGAAACAGTCATCTTTGACTTTGTATATGATATATTTGTTTAACGACTGACTGACTGGATCGTCATTCAACAATATAAAGACAGTTTAGAATGTGTAACAAAAATATTTCCCGAAATAATCATGTGATCAATATAGGTTATTTTTAATCCCAGTTGTAAAGATGTTTAAAACATTTCCTCTCACTAACTGCCAATAATATCGTTGGATGCCTGCTCACTGGTCTAGTGGTTAAGCGTTCGTGCATGAAACCGATAAGTCCTGGGTTCAAATCACGCGAGGTGTAATTATGGATGCTCACTGCTGAGGGGTTCTATACTAGGACGAAACAGCAATCCAGGTCTTCCATGGTAGTTTAGCTTCAATTGACTCATGATCTCAACTATTAAAATTACTATAATATTCACAAAACCCCTTCTGATGTCAATAATTAGTTACAATGAGTGTAGACTGTTAATTGCAAACTGCTTTTATTCATAAATCTGTAGATTTCATAATATATTCATAGGAATGAATATATTTGTATATTTCTTGTTATAATTGTAGTGATAGTTTATCTTTTTATATGTAATTCGTACACTTTTTCATTTGTTTTTCTTACTCTTCCAAACATCTTTACACATTCTACAGTTATTGTTAGTGTTTATCTATGTGTGTTGTTTTTTGGTTGTTGATGTTGTCTAAACACATAATGTTCAACTTGAATATATTCTCCATTTCTGGCATGCAATAGTTTTACTGTGTTGTAGATTCTTAGTGTTTAACACTCACTAAGGATGTTGTATCCTTGTAGAGTTAGTAAGGCTGTTTCTAGCTTATAACTCATTTTAACATTTTCCAATTTTCATCAAAATTACCTATGGTGAAGGCGAGATATCCGTCTATCAATCAAGGGATGATGAGTATACTGTGCGGCAGTTCGTTCTGTTCTACGTAGTGTATGCAAAACGTGGCCATTAAGAATCGATGATACTCGTAAGCTACTAGTATTTGACCGCAGATGTCTTAGAAATATTGCTTACATCTATCGAGATCACCGGGTAAGTAATAGTGAAATTAGACGTAGGGTATTAGGGAATGTTGGTAAATCAGTTGATGAAGTTTTGAATCTACATCAACTGAGATGGTTGGGTCATAGTGTTTCGTATGCTTAAACATCGATTACCACGACGCGCAATTCTGACTACTGTTGGAGACGACTGGAAGAAAGTTAGAAGATGCCTAACCAAAACGTGGCATCAGTGTTTGAAGTCACTAACTTGTAGTCTTAGTCATGTTGATAGATGCAGTCTACTTGGTTGGAGTCTGCGTGACTATCGTAACCAATGGTTGGAGACTGTATGACATGGCTGACCATTGATCACAATAGTGTAGGTGTATACACTCTCTGTCTTCACTTAAACTATGAGCTTAAGATTGCCTTATATCTTTCTTTTTACCAACTAATTCTTTCTTCCTGTACTATGTTCTTATGTTCAATCTTTCTTTTATACATCACCACCATTGAATTAACTACTTCTATGAATCCGATGTTCATCTTGTTGTGCTGATGCGGTATGCAACTTGAATCGATGCATATATGTGCCTGGTCTTACGTTGTAGCTGACTGACTCACTAAAAATTATAATAAATATGTTCATTATTATATTTTCCTCTCTTTTTCTTTCCTTTAATGTTTTGTTTTATAATTTATTCTAACAAAACATTATAAGTGTAAAGTCTATCCAAGAATAATAAATTTTAATTGTTACAGTAATGTTCTTGTGTTTTTTTTTTATACTCCCCATATGCATTGTGATTAACCCTACCCACTTGTTTAAACATGGTCTATTCTCTAACAACTGTCAACATTTCCAATTCGTAATAACGAATAGATCTCGTATGAATAGAGAAGAATCAAAACTTATTTGGACCATAGACTTATTCATTCTTTATGTTAATTATTGTATCACTTTAGATGATTATTACAATTTTTCTTTATTCCAAATCGATCTAATATTCTTGACCGGAATGATCTGATTTATAGTCCATATGATTGATTGACTTTATCTCTGGTTTAATGTTAAATAATGACGATTACTAGTATGGAATTCTTTAGTCTTAGAAATTCATGACTGCCATATTAGGGGATTCATACTTGAAATGTTCAACACTCCTACTGAATATATATCACTTTTATGTGTTCATCAATCCGAGTCAGCAGTTAACTGAACTAGTAGATAAATCAAATCAAATATGTTAACTCATTAAGTCAAGTAGTAATATACTCGCTAGAATGTCTCAAATGCTGCTGTTATCTAAAACTTGTTAATAGAGTTATCTTTATTTATTATTCATTTCAACACATAATTATTGGTACCAGAGGGCATCAATTATATATGCGCCACACCATATTTGTGTGTGTGGGCTGTAATACTGCCTGGGTTCCCAGACCGAAGCAGATAGTTTTCTTAGGGGGCCACACCGCGAGCCTTTGACCTGAGGGTCTGACCCACAAGGCAGTGGAGCATGTGAGGAGATGCAGTCCCATGGTAGCCGGTGACCAACGATTGGTTCATACGCCATTTGTTCCCGCAGGATACTGGAGCCCATGTGCACCATTGGTTTGGGATCCGGTCAAAGCACCGGACATTCACTTATCGTCCACTCGTTCCCGTGAACAACACCCCATTGACGAGAAGGCTGTGAGTAGGACTTCCCTGGCAGAGGCTGTATACGCGTGGCCATGTGAGAGCATTTCGAGAGGGAGGGATGACCCACCTCACTCTCTTCCATACCAGGGCATTTGGAGGCTATAGAGTTATCAGTTTACGGTATTGAGGAATTCTATACTGATACAATATAAATACACATTACTTCATTTGTTTTCAAATGATTATTTAATTGAAGTGAACTTGTGTGAATTGAAACATTGAAAAAATTGGTTCAACTCTTCAACACTATACATTTAAATGAAATTTCTTCTTTGAATAGAAATTGCTTACACGAAGTTGTGAAATGTCAGAAAATCTACCTTTTTTGTCTTATTCATCATTAGGATTTCTACAAATATATAACAATCTATCCGTACCTGCTTCAGTTTGGGCACCTGGGCAGTATCACAGCCCTCACACATATCGAATGAGATTTGTGTGGCGCATATTTATTTGGTGCCTCCTTGTACCAATATCTATGTGTTAAAATAAATAAATAACAATCTATCTAATGCTTAATTTATTCGAAATTATGAAATCTATAAACCTTTTGTTATTGTCGTCGTTGTTCTTGTTGTTTTTCATCATTGTATTTTTCGTAAATTGGAATACATTGTATGTATATTAATTGTAGTTTCAAGAACTAGATACAACATATTCATGGTACATTCCATTTCATCTGAAGTAATTCTATGCTGTTTATTCATTTATGTGTATGTTGAACAATAGTTTTTTTATTTTATAATGCGAACATGAATAGAATTTCCTGATGTACAAGATACTTTTATTAAGATTGATCGATTTGTTTTTTGGTAGTAGACACTTTTGATATACTTCTTGTAGATCATTTTACTTCAAACTAGCATTCATGAAGAATGTGATAATAATTGTTTGCTTAGTCAGACTAGTAGATAGTCTGATAGGTATTAGTTATGAGTTATATATTCCCTTATCCTTATTATTCACTTATTATTGATTGTTGTTGGATTGTGTTGGGTTTTTGGTATGGAAATATATTTACGTTCTAGTTAGGCTAATCACGTGTTCTTGATCATCTGAGTTGTGTTGAAGTCCTGTAGAATAGACACTGTGAGTGGAGGCACCAAATACATATGCGCCACACAAATCTCATTTGATTTGTATGGGGGCTGTATTACTGTTTGGGTGCCCAAGCCGAAGCAGGTGGTTTCCTTAGGGGGTCACACCCAGAGCCTTCGACCTGAAGGTGTGATCTACAAGACAGTGGAGCATCGTAAGAAGATGCAGTTCCATGGTACCCGTTGAATAACAATAGATTCATTCACCATTTATTCGCTCGGGGTACTGGAGCTCATGTGCAACATTTGTTTTAAATCAGGGTTTTCCAACTCCCCTAGGTGGACTCTCCATGTCCACCAACCTGGTTAAAGCACCGGGCATTCGCTTTTCATCCTCTCAATTCCGTAATCAACAACTCATCCTTGAAGAGTTTCCAGATCATCGACCTGGGTTTTTTTTTTAAAATAGAAGATAGTTTATTTGACTGTTATCATTAAATGTTAATTTTTCCTCTATAATAAGATAACCTCAAGCATATTTTTTCCCATTCACATTTTCACATGACCATGCTGTTTTCTGTCTTGGTGACTATCACTTTTAGTTCACTGATTTTCTTTCCTAAGATCGTGTTTTTATTGCTATATATATACACGTACACATAGTTGTTTAATTTCAATTGTTCTATGTGAAATAGCAATTTTTCTATACTGCTGTACTTCTTTTTGGGTTCTATCGTTGAGGATTTACTATTGGGAGGTGGGTATTGTGTGTGTGTGTGTGCTGCCTTATTGAGTTCATGATAGAATCCATTCATAAGTTATCGTAGGTTGAACCAAGTAAAATTTTCAATGAATTCACCAGTCGTTTTTTTCTCTTTATAATATGACTAAGAATTAACTACATTTAGACTGTGTTGTTCTTTGTTTTGTTTTGTATCTAATTTGTATTTGTTTGTTTGTTTCTTGTAACAACGTGTTAATTATGTCATTTTTAATTGGAAATTTACTGCACAAATTTTTTTGTTTTGCATTAACTACATGTTATCTATTTTTGGTGCTTTTTGTATCCCACCCCCCCTCACCTACTTTACACACTTACCTTAATTATTTCAGTAGTATTTTGATAAAGATAAACGAATTAAATTCGTGTGTATATGTGTTTCTTTTTTAATGTAACTACTTGTTATATACTAACTTATCATCTTCAGCTTTAGTTACGTTTCATTCGTCTCATGATTGTTTATTGTTTGTTTTATAGAAAAGACCGGAGTCGAACCGTGTTGCCTCGACCCTCCAACCTCGAAAACTGTGGTCATAACTTCCGACATGCATAAATTGAAAGCTTCAACTATCACAACTCCATCATGTACAATATCATTATCACCGTCATCCTCATCAATAACAACAACAACCTCATCTCCACTGACAGTTACAACGAGAATAATAAATTGGAAAACAACTACCTCATCATCACAATTTAAATCATCTGATGAACATGATTATCATACTTTTTATTATGGAAAGAATGAAAATCAAAAATTATGGAAACCACGTCGTTTACATTTTGTATTACGCCTCCCAATTATTGGAACTGATCCACATGTTTTATTAATACAAATCATTGAATTAATAAAACGTTATCAATGTTCTTATGAATTTCTTAGTTCATATCGTATACGTTGTACAAAATTAATGAATCCTCCTTCTTCTTCTTCTTCTTCTCATCAACCCTCTCCTTGTTCAAATGATAATAATAATAATAACACTATTGATGATGTTGATGTTGACCAACAACTAGAACATTGTACACTAACAACATCACCTCAACAAAACCAACCCCAGCAACAACAACAACAACAACAACAGCCTCAAGTATCTTATCTAATTCATTTAAAACATAAAACTAATTTAATCATATGGGATATGGAAATATTTCAATTAGCTAAACCAATTAATTATGGTGTACGATTTAAACGCATTTCAGGCAATCGTAATGCATTCAATATTATTATGAAATATTTTATTTTACATACTACTAATATAACTTAAATTCATATTATCTATCTATTTACTAAATCTATTAATGTGTATGTATATGTATGTAGTTGTGTTGATTGTTCTCTCCCCCCTCTTTCTCTCTTTCTTTTTCCTACCTCTATCCTTTGACATATTCTAATTGATTATATGAATGTTTTGGTTCATGTATCCATGTCAACATTTACCACTTCATTTTTCTTCTTCTTCTTCTTCTTGTTCTTGTTGTTGTTGCTATGGCTGTTATTGTCAATATTATCATTACATTTAAGCTTCTTCTTCTGATATTATTGATCTCATGTTTAGTATTGTAACTAAGTAAATGATTATTTATATCATATAAATAATATAATTTCTATCTTTTAAAATGAACTATTGAGTAATTCATTGAAATTTTAATTATGTTTATACTTTTACCAAAACAAAATATAGAAAACCAATATTGTCAATGTGTTGTAGGTCATTCAAAAGAAAACGATATTCATTTTATTGTTTGTTTGTTTTACCATGTTCTTTCTTTCAAATAGATTTTTATTTTATTTTAAACAAATAAACATCGATCAATGATATTTTATTTGTTTATTTTTTCTTTCTCTTTTTTCTTTTTTGTCGTCGTCGTTGTTGTTGTTGTTGTTTTCTGTATAATATTATCACATACATGTATTTATGTATATTGTTTTCTTTTCTTTCTTTTTTCTCTTTAAATGATTCATTTTTCGCTAACTATCTTATTGTCATGTATATGGATGTGTTTAAAGTGTGTGTGTGTGTGTGAGTGAGTGTGATATCTTAGTTACAATTGATTTTCCACTATATAATTGTTCTTCCATAAGTTTGGTTTCCACTTCCTCCCTTTTTTTTGTTCTTATCAGTTTGTTCATCTAACAACTGATTATTTATTTATTATTATTATTCATAATATAACTTGTAATTATGAGACTGTAATCATAGATTCATTAAGCACATGATCTCATTACATGTCAGGTTTCTCATTATTATTATTATTATTTGTTTTTTTTTTCATTTACCCCGGTCTTTATTAGTTGGTTTGGTTTTGATCTTTTGACCTTTACAATCACATATTTTCTTGACTGACTTCTGTGTTGGTTTATTTGTGAATGTGTACAACTACAGTTATTTGTCTGTGTAAACTTATTCCCATTGAAGAGTTCACAATATACACATATAAATGTGAATTAAAGTTATCAATTTGTGTATTCCTTTTCTGCCTTATCAACTATATGGATCAATTGAATAAACATGAATGAATAGTAGAAATTAGTAGTAGGGTATGAAATTGTAAGAATGATATACATTTCTGTTAAGTTTTATCTATTTTTACTAATGAATTATGCTGATATTTTCATGTCATATAGTATATTTACTTTGTATGCCATGGATAATTATTGAATTTATTCAATTGTGTGTTTGAAATGATTCTTTCAATTCCCTTTTATTTTTAATAATATCATTCTATAGGGGAATTATATTTAATGTCTCTTTATTAGACTCCTTTATATGTATCTATTTCTATCTATATTTATGTATGTATTATGTAATATGTGTGTGTGTATGTGTGACATTCTGTAGTCATTTATTCATGATCATGCAAAGGTAACTTTTTTTCATATTGTATGTAAGTAAATCTATGCTAATTCTATTGTTACATTATTTATATTGTGAGTCGCTTTTGTATGTGTATGTGTTGTTGTAGATCCGGTCATTGTTTTGTTCTTATTCGAATTACATTTCTTTGTAAAACAATATTAGTTATGATATATATATATGTATTTTTTTTCAAACAATATTGTTGCTAATATGCCACGTTCTCCTCCTCTGCTCCCCTCCTCCTTATTCATCATTTTACTATCAACAGAATATTGAAACACTCTTTGAAAATGATAAAAATAAATAAAATCTGTTTCACATCGCTATTCTTATTATAGTTTTTGTTTTGTTTTATTGGGTTTTTTTTTCTTTATAAAACGATATTGAATTAACCATCATTTCATAGATCCTATAATTAGAATTACATGAATATTTCCATAAAGAAACAAACTATTAAATGTCATACAAGGGTATTGTGTTCATGTAACAAAATTTATAATTTTCTAAATAAAAAGTGATCAACTTATCACCTGAATAATATCAGTCGGTCAATAACAACGTAGAAATTCGTATGTATGTATATCAGTTCGAGTTGTCATACCACATTAACACAGAGATGCAGTTTGCGATTCAAATCCCATAGTGGTAGAGGTAGTAAAAGTATAAACAGCAATCGGAAAGATTAGGGTTTGAAAATGTTATTCAGTGAGTATAGATTTCGAAAGAAATAAAGGAAAGGGGCGTGAATAATTCAGAAGATTAGAATTTTGGAGAACACAAAGAGTGGATACACTTGCTCACACCACTGCAAACGATTTTGAGTCATATTATTCAAGGTCTCTAACCATCGGTTGTTATCGTCTCGCAGATCCCAACAAGGTAGTCTACACCTACCAACATAGCTCAGTCCACTTGTCAGTAGTGACTTCATGAATTTGTGCCATGTTTTGGTCTGGCCGCCCCTAGCTTTATTCCAACCTACTCCTATACCACTGAACATCGCACGTCGAGGCAGTCGATCGTTGGGCATACGCAACACGTGTCCCAGCCATCTCAACTGATGAAGTTTCACCACTTCATCAATGGATTTGCCATCCTTACCTAGTACCCGTTTCCTAACAACTGCATTGCTTACGCGATGGTCCCAGGATACACGAGCAATGTTTCGAAGACACCAATGATCAAATACTAATAACCTACGAATATCCTCTACTCTTACCGGCCACGTTTCACTGCCATAAAGTAAGACGGAACGAATTGCTACGCAGTAAACCCGTCTTTTGGCTGGTAGATGGATATCTTGCCTAAGTCATAAATGACGCAAGTTGGCAAAAGCCAGTCGGGCCTTCAGTATCCGTGCTGAGATTTCGTCACACACCAGACCACATGGGCTGATGAGACTTCCAAGACACGCTCAACTACTTCACTCCCTATCATTAGTTCGGGTGTCGATGCAACCCAATCCTGAAGCAACACATTTTGCATTTCGAGGGAGAGAATCGCATCCCGAACATGTTTGCATTGTTGCTTAGAGTGGTCAGAAGACTGCATTTTGTCAGCGTCTTCGTCAAATAAAACTATGTCATCGGCATATTCTAAGTCAACAAGTGAACCTCCTGGTAGAAGTTCAAAGTTAATCAAGAATGGGGAGAGTGGACAGCCCTGACGAACACCACTTGATGTAATCAATTCTGATGACAGTTCGCCATAAGCTCTCACTCTACCAGTTGTGTTCGAGTAGAGAGCCTGAATAAGGTTAATGTACTTCGTTAGAACTCCTTTCAGTGACAAACACTGCCATAGAACCTCACGATCAACAGAGTCGAATGCCGCCTTAAGGTCGAGAAAAACTACCATTGTAGGGCATCTAAACGTGTGTCTGTGTTCTAGAACCTGACGTAGTGTGAATATCTGATCTATACAACCACGTCCAGGTCGATAACCGGCCTGGCTTTCTCTAATCTGCTCTTCACGAGCTTTGGTTAGGCGTCGAAGTATTATTGAAGCTAATATTTTAGACACTATATTAGTCAAACTGATTCCTCTGTGATTGTCACAAGAGGACTTTTGTCCTTTCTTATAGACTGGCACAATCAGTGACTGAGAACAGTCAGATGGGATTACGTCCAGTTCCCGAATTCTACCTAAGACCTCAGTTAATCTCATTGCTAATACTGAACCACCATCCTTAAAAATCTCAGGAGTAAACCTGTCAGGGCCTGCTGCTCTCCCTCGTTTCAGATTTCCTATGGCTTTCTCAACTTCCTAAACAGTCGGGTTCCTAATTCCGGTTTCCTTAACGAGTCTGAACAATTGTCTGCTATTACCTATTGCCGCTGCCTTTTCCATCTCCCTTGCTTTCGCTACCCAACACTGTTCGCGATCATTGCGTAGACTTCTTGTCAGCTTAAGCTGACTCCGCTCTTCATTATGTTCAGAGTCAGGTGGAATGAGTTTCCGAGCATCTATCAGTGCGATAGATGCTGCTGAGATCCAGTGTTGCTCCCTAACCTTGTAGTTTACCGTACTAGCAGATATCACTGCTGTTTCCACAGCTTTTCGGAAATCCTTCCATTTTGCCTCGAGGTGGGCATCACATACACGACTGCCCAACTGTTTTCCTAGTTGTTCCTGAAATGTACTCTTAGCTTGACTATCACTAAGTAATCCTCTAAGAGGTTTCCTTGCAGCGTCTTTCCTACGTCCAGTAAGACGCAAGCAAATACGCGCTCGTACTAGAGCATGATCTGAATCTAAGCATGTGCTCCAGAATGAGCGACAGTCTTCTATCGAGCCCCTCCATCGGTGGCTGATGGCGATGTGATCTATTTGGGTCCAACGTTGGGACGAATTAGGGGGTCGCCATGTTGAAAGATGTTTTTCCTTATGCCTAAAGTTAGTATTTTCAAGAAAGAGGCGGTTATCTGAGCATAGCTGCAACAGACGGTCGCCATTATCTGTTCTTTGAGCCATTCACTCGGATACGTGACAGATCATCAGGCTCAGAATCTGTGAGAAGGACGAATAATGCCAGCAGCTATTATGCTATCATACTCGCGTTTACCGAAAGCTAATTTTTCTGGTGCTAGTCGGCGAAGTTTCGCCATGACTGAGGGGCCGCGGGTGACTATGTGGTGTTGCACGCGATAGGATCCCCTCCAGAGGTTAAGTTAATTGGGGGAATTTCTCGAATAAAGCGTGGAATATATCATCACGCGAATGAGATACACCTGTGACCAGATACGCGTTTGTCTGAGCATTAAATCACATGAATGTGCTGTTCGACGAAATATCAGTTAGCTGCAGCCTACATGAATCGACTATCAATTCATATTACTGTAGAAAATCGATACCGAGTATGGTTGTGGGAACATCGACAATGATGAATGTCCACAGATACTGTCGTCGGTTGCTCAGGTTGACCTTAAGCTGTCGTGTATCATAGGTAGGAATAACTAAGCCATTCGAAGCATTGTAGCTTGAGACTTACTCTAAAGAATCGGTACGACAAAAACTTAAGCACCTGTATCTACTAGGTACCTGGCGTTAGTGCAATAGTCCTGCACGTGTCTTCGGTGGTGTCATCAATGCTGTCAGGACGCAAACAGCTTGTACTCGAAGCCATTGTAATCGTGAACGCTGATGAAATGAGTATAAGGAAATGTAATTGGGACACAAGTAATGATGCGTGCTCGATTGATACAAAAATTTATGTGAAATCAAATAAGTTCAGATACGATGGAATTACATGGACGAAAAGAGAAAAGACTGACTTTAAAGAAGTGTATTCGAAATAAAACTCAAGAAATCAGGTTTTTTCTATCCCTTACAAATTGCAGCAGGTAGAAGCTGGTTAGAAAACCTTATCGCAATGCTAGTTCTTTTTCTTGCAGAGAAAACAGCAACCTGATCACCCAAGTCGTCGGAAATCATCCAGAATCTCACATGTATGTGATGTGACTGCGACTGCTACTCCAGTGAAAACAGATAAATGGGTACAAATAGAGAACGGCAAATGATCTATTGTCGTCAAAGAAGAACCAGTTTCAATAAGTAGTTGAAAAGTCTAAGGCTGATCATAATGATAAGTCAGTCGTCTTTCATAAAGTGAAGGAGAGTGAAAACTCAAAACCCGCATCAAGCAAGATATTGGGTTACCAAAAGTTCTGCTTAGTCTGCTAATGCCTCAAGATATTTCTGACGTCGTCCTGTTGAATGTCTATACACTAGTTAGCTAAAGGGACTCAAAACAAAATTAAACCAGGCTGCTGGAAGTGATATTTAAGTTTTATTGAAAGAGATCTAACACTGTGGAACGAATATAAGCTAAATACGTCAGGAATTTTCGTCCGTAATGTTTTGCCAGTTGCGCACCGCATAAAAAGGATGAGAAGTTGAGGAAAAACTAATATCGAAGTTTGATGCTAGAGAGAATGACCTTGGGATTGCGAAGTTTCTGGTAGTGAGGCTTATACAGAAAGTGAAGCCGTAGCCGTTTCGATGGTCTTCGGATCTGTCGTACAAATGCACAGAGCTTTCCCAACAAGCGATCAAAGCTAGATGTAGAGATAGACTAAATTAAGCTGAATGTAGTCGCAGTCACATAATCTTGGCTGATGCAGTCTATAGAATATGGGGGACTTGATTTTGAGAATTTTAAATCTTTGAGAGCTGATAAAATCTAGAAGCGTAAAGAATTAGTAGCTCTATTCATTAGAAATACTTTCCAATTTATCGTCGTTGATAACTGTTGAAGACGTTACGTCCACAGAACTCCCTTGGAAAAGGTCCTAATTTTGTAATTTTATTCTGAATATTTGAATTTTATGTTTTCGCGCCAAGAGACGTTTGGTTGACTTACACCTTACATTACCCACTCGGAAATCCTTGACTGTCATTAGTTGACGGATTTTTTAGTACGCCTATTTTGTGGCTCTACCAATGGTGTTTGTTTTCATTGTATAAATAAGCTTGATTTGTGAGCTTAGTGACCTTATATTTTCTGGGTGCTTTTGGAATGCATTCTTTACGCCTCATCACGATTTCTTGATGTGTTTATCAGGACCGTGTACAACGGATTAGAATAGCCTATCGTTTCACTGTATCTTTGACCTTCATTCGTTCACCGAGCAGGTGAATTCCTAATAGCATTCAACCATATCAATAACATATCCCATGAAAGTGAGACGTGTAAACTAATTAGTTGCCGCTTGGAAGGGAAACAACAAGGACTGCTGATTGACTTTGTTTGCCACTGTTCAAACTGTGAAGTAAACGAGGTCATGGTAGACCGTCTCAGCACTCTATCACCAAGTGGTCGATGTT